GGGATTGAACTCAGGGGCACTTGACCACTGAGCCACATCCCCAGCCCTATTTTGTAACCTGTTAGGAGTAGTCAAAAAGGGAACTTATCAAAGTGGGACAAGATCCACCCCACTAAAGAAATGACGAGAAATTTGAATTAATGATCCAATTTATCAGCCCCTTGGTACTCTCTGTTAGGGAAAAGGACTTAAGAAATCATGGCCATTCAAGAAACCATGGCCATTCATCTTGCAGGGATTCTAATAATTTATGTCTGCTGCAGATCTAAGGAAGTATAAATGCAAAGATAATATCTATTCCTTAGAATAATTACATTTTGAAGCAGATGCAGATCTCACTGAGTTGCTTAGTGTCTTGCTGTTGCTGAGGCTGGCTTTGAACTCACAATCCTCCTGTCTCAACCTCCAGAGCTACTGGGAATACAGGTGTGCCACACTGTGCCTGGCTTATATTTCTTTCTTTTTCTTCTTCTTCTTTTTTTAAAGTGTTTGCTTAGTTTCTTTGCCCATTTATTAATTGAATTATTTGTTTTGTTTTTGTTTTATTTTTTTTAGTTAAGTTTTTTGAGTTCTTAATATTCTTAATTAATAACCTGGATATTCATGTCCTATCTGAGGAGCAAGTGGTAAAAATCTTCTCCCATTTTATAGGCTTTCTCTTCCTGCTTCTGATTGTTTCCTTTCCTGTGAAGAAGCTTTTTAGTTTGATGCCAACCCATTTATTGATTTTTAATTTTACTTCTTGCACTTTAGGAGCCTTCTTAAGGAAGTCAGTTCCTGAGCCAAAATGTTGGAGTGTTGGGCCTACATTTTCTTCTAGCATATACAGGATTTCTGGTCTAATTGATCCACTGTGAGTTGAGTTTTGTGCAGGGTGAGAGGTAGAGGTTAAATTTCAATCCACTACATATGGATTTACAGTTTTCCCAGAACCATTTGTTAAAAGGTCTATCTTTTTTCCAATGTATGTTTTTGGCATCTTAATCTAGTATACCAGGTAACTGTGTTTATGTGGTTTTGTCTCTGTCTTCTATTCATGCCTGTTTTGGTGCCAGTACCATGCTGTTTTTGTTACTATAGATCTGTAGTATAATTTGATATCTAGTATTATGATGCTTCCTGCTTTGCTTTTTTTGCTAAGGATTGCTTTGGCCATTCTAGGTCTCTTATTTTTCCAAATAAGTTTCATAACTGCTTTTTCCTAGTTCTGTGAAGAATGTTGTTGGAATTTTGATGGGAATATTGTATTGAATCTGTATAGTGCTTTTTGTAATATGGCTATTTTGACAATTAAATCTTCCTCTATAAGAACATGGGAGGTCTTTCTTTTCACTTGTTTGCTGTTTTGTTTTGTACCAGGAGTTCTTAACCACTGAGCCACATCCCTAGCCCTTTTTATTTTTTAAAAATTTTAGACAGAGTCTCACTGAATTGCTTAGGGCTTCGGTAAGTTGCCGAAAAATAAACCCCACACCTGTAAGTTAAACAGTATAGTCTTTATTATTATAAAAATTTTGATCAACATAAAACATTCAAGGAACAGATTTTCAGAGTCACTAACTACAGAATGGAGAACATATTCAACTCATTTTAGGAAGTTCGAATAGCAGTACATAACAGTACCATAAAAATCTGTCAATGACAGTAAGAAAAAAATATTACAAACTCAAACATGATCACAGATACAAAAAAAAACAAGACAAGATATTAGGAACAACTTAATAATTCTATTATTATTATTATTATTATTATTATTACTTTTACCCTCTTGGTATCAGGAATTGAATTCAGGGATGCTTTACCCCTGAGTCACATCCCCAGCCCTTTTTTAAAAAATTTTTATTTGTTTTAATTAGTTATACATGACAGTAGGATGCACTTATATACTTTGACATATCATACATAGATGGGATATAATTTCTCATTTTTCTGATTATGCATATTGTAGAATCACATTGGTCATTCAGTCACATACATATATACAGTATTAATGTCTGTTTAATTCTACTATCTTTCTTATCCCCACATCCCCTGCCTTCCTCTCCTTTCACTTTCCTCTACCCAATCTAAGGTAACTATCCCCATCCCTTTTTATTTTTTATTTTGAGACAGTTCTCATTAAATTTCTGAGGGTCTCACTAAGTAACTGAGGCTGGCCATGAACTTGCAATCCTCCTGTCTCAGCCTCCTGAGTTACTGAGATTATAGGCATGCACCACCCCAGCTTGTTTCAAGATATTTTTCAATTTCTCTTTTGATTTCTTTATTGATACATTGGTCATACAAGAGAATGTTGTTTAATTTCCATGTATTTGTACCATTTAAAAATATTTTTAGTTGTAGATGGACACAATACCTTTATTTTATTTATTTTTATGTGGTGCTGATGATTGATTCCAGTGCCTCCCATTTGCTAGGCAAGCACTCTACCACCAAGCCACAACCCCAGCACCATATTTGTACCATTTTTCTAGTTTCTCTTGAAGTTGATTTCTTTATTTTTTTTTTAAAGAGAGAGTGAGAGAGGAGAGAGTGAGAGAGAGAGAGAGAATTTTTTTTTAATATTTATTTTTTAGTTCTCGGCGGACACAATGTCTTTGTTGGTATGTGGTGCTGAGGATGGAACCAGGGCCCCACGCAGGCCAGGCGAGCGCGCTACCGCCTGAGCCACATCCCCAGCCCCTTGAAGTTGATTTCTAATTTTATTCCACTGTAGTCAGATAAGATACATGCTATTAATTAATTTCATTAATTTTTTGAAACTTGTCTTATAGCTAAATATATATATGTCCCAGAACACATTACATGTGCTCTTTAGAAGCATATGAATAGTGCCGCTACTGGATGAAATAGCTTTTTTTTGTTCTAATTAGTTACACATGACAATAGAATGCATTTTGACACATCATACATAAATGGGCTATAACTTCTCATTCATCTGGTTATACATGATGTAGAGTTACACGGGTCTTGTAATCATATATGTATGTATGAAATGTCTTGTAAGTTTCGTTAGGTCCATTTGGTTTATAGAATAATTTAATTCTGATATTTCTGTGTTGATTTTTTTGTATTGATGATCTGTCCTTTGATAAAGATAGGGTGTTGAAGTCCCCAGCTATTACTGGCTTTGTCTATCTCTACTTTTAGGTCTAATAGTATTTGCTTTATATAATTGGATGCTCTAGTACTGGATGTATGTATATCATATATATGTGGTCTTTATTTTCCTTTTGTTGAATTGATCCTTCTATAATTATATAATGGCCTTCTTTATCTCTTTTTATAAATTTTGACTTCAACTTCTATTTTATCCTATATAACTACTCCTGCTTACCTGCTCACTTTTGGTTTCCATCTGCATGGTATAGCTTTTTCCTTCTCTTCACTTTTAGTCCATGTGTGTCTTCACTGGTAAAGTGAGTTTCTTGTAGGCAGCATGATGTTGGGTGCAGTTTTTAAAAATTTTTTCCTTAATCTATTTAGTTGATCTAGATATTTTAACCTGGAATCTAATCCATTTACATTCAAGGTTGGGTTAACTGATAAGCAAAGACATAATCCTGTCATTCTTTTGATTTTCTCATGGTTGTTTTATGTATTCTTTATTGTTAGTCAGCTATCCATTGCAGTGACAAATACCTGAGAAAAACAACTTTTTTTTTTTGGTACCAGGGATTGAACTCAGGGGTACTCAAAACCACTGAGCCACATCCTCAACCCTATTTTGTATTTTATTTAGAGATAGGGTCACTCTGAGTTGTTTAGCGCCTCACTTTTGCTGAGGCTGGCTTTGAACTTGAAATCCTCCTGTCTCAGCCTTTCAAGCTGCTGGAGTAAAAGTATTTTTTAAATGGGGCTGCGGGCACATAATTTGGCTGATAGCAGTGATTTTAGGCATCTATTCATGTGTTTATTGGCAACCCACGTATCCACTTTGGAAATATGTGTATTTAAGTCCCTTGCCAATTGTTAAATAGGGTTCTTCATTTTTTTGTTGTTGAGTTGTAGAAATTCTTTATATAATCTGTATACAAGCCCATTACAGATATATGACTTGTAAATATTTTCTCCCATTCTGTGAGTTAGCATTTCATTTTCTGATGATCCAAAGCAAAAAGTTTTTAATTTTGATGAAACCCCATTTTTTTTTCTTTTATTTCTGTGCTTTGGTTGTTATATCTAAGAAAACATTGCCCACTTCAAACTCATTAAGATTCAACTCTGGTTTCGCCTTAGAGTTGCATTGTCTTACCTCTTAATAGCCAGGCACGATCCCTTTTGAGCTAATATTTGTATATGATGTGAGATATTTCTTTTCTTTTAATCCCCAGGAACATCCTAGTTTGGGAATGTTCTTTACTAGATTAACTACAAAACAAATTGGTAAGGGAGTTGTTGCTGTTGTTTTGTTTTGTTGTTTGCTGTTTTAGGAGATCTTTAACAAAAACCACCAAATCACAGCAGATATAGGAAATCACACCTATTATATATCATGTAAAACATACCTCACTTATATTAAACCCATTCAGTTTTTTTATAAGCAGAGAAATTTAAACACAAGGTAAGTTAACAGAAATGGTTTTCAGCAGCAGTTGAGATAACACTCACTGAAAGATTATGAATAATATCTTGATTACAAATAAAAGCTTGGTCTCATCTTTTTAGCTAGGAATTGACTTAGACTTTATATCATTTTTTAGTTTGATTAATGAAAGAGTAACTAATTAGAGTGGAAAAGAGATTAGCAAATCATTCAAGATGTCAAGTGCAGTCAAAGTGTAATTTTGTCATCGATAATTTAGTAAGCTCAAAGCGACAGGTGTACATAATAAATAGGAACAGAGACTACCAAGTATTGAAGACTCTAGGTAATGTTCTTAAAATCAGCATTATTTGGTTAGATTGGATTTTATTTACCTGAATTGTCATATTGTTGAATGTGCCTTTGGCTTATTGACATCCTAAGGTTTGGTGTGCATTTCTTTTTTGTTTTGCAGGATATACAGAATCAAAAATTAAAGACAAGTGTATGGTACCGTGAGGTAAATGATTGTTTCCTTCTATGCATGCTGGATTCCTGATCTGCATCTGCTTCAAAATGTAATTATTCTAAGGAATAGATATTATCTTTGCATTTATACTTCCTTAGATCTGCAGCAGACATAAATTATTAGAATCCCTGCAAGATGAATGGCCATGGTTTCTTGAATGGCCATGATTTCTTAAGTCCTTTTCCCTAACAGAGAGTACCAAGGGGCTGATAAATTGGATCATTAATTCAAATTTCTCGTCATTTCTTTAGTGGGGTGGATCTTGTCCCACTTTGATAAGTTCCCTTTTTGACTACTCCTAACAGGTTTGGGATGATGAGTTTTTATCCTGGAACTCCAGCATGTTTGATGAGATTAGAGAGATCTCTCTACCTCTCAGTGCCATCTGGGCCCCTGATATCATCATTAATGAGTTGTAAGTGTGCAGGGTTATACTTATGGGGGTTTTAGACTGCTTACACTATTCATGCCAGTGGCTGCTTACTTTCAGTCGTTGTTGCTATTTTTTATTTTTTAAGCAGAAGGGAGGCATATTGTTGGGAATTTGAAATGCCATGATTTGACATTTAAGATAATAATTGATTGCTGGTACTTCAGGTTACTTTTTGTTATTGTTGTTTTGGGAACCAGGGGTTGAACCCAGGGGTAATTTGCCACTGAGCCACATCCCTAGCCCCTTTTATATTTTATACAGAGACAGGGTCTCATTGAGTTGCTTAGGGCCTCACTAAGGTGCCAAGGCTTCTTTGAATTCGCAGTCCTCCTGTCTCAGCCTGCTGAGCCAGGATTATAGGTGTGCACCACTACACCTGGCTTTCAGATTACTTTTCATGTCCAGGTCCATGACACTAGGAAATGAGTTAACTTATGAGACTACAACTGCTAAGCCCATTTTTGCCTCAGTAAATCATCTCATAGGAAATGGGATTCTATCTCTGTAGTGCTAGGCTAGTCCTACGTCTCATGGTCATTACCATCCTTTAATCAGTTCTATGTATGTTTTGAAATGACTAATGCCCTCTCTGTAACAAGTTCTCTTGTGTTTTATATAGTGTGGACATTGAAAGATCCCCTGACATTCCCTATGTTTACGTGACCTCATCTGGGAGCATTAAGAACTTTAAGCCCATCCAGGTGGTCTCTGCTTGCAGTTTACAGACATATGCTTTTCCTTTTGACATCCAGAATTGCAGCTTAACCTTCAATAGCATTCTGCACACAGGTAAACCATGAGAGAAATAGTCCATTAGTTGGAAAATCCAACTATGCTGGGTTGGAATACATAGGTGAAACTATAATTTCATGTCTTATGTCGTTCTTGCATATAATATAATTGTCTATTTAAAAAATCTAAATCTCTTCCTATAGTTATGTGGTTCCTGCTATACTTCAGATCAGGTACAGTTTTAGAGTCCACTGCTGCCGTTAAATTGTGATTACATTAGGACTCTACCACCACTGAGAATGTTATAGAAATTGCAGGACAAGCTCCACCATTTTGTAGAGAGTTGACTCCAAATCCTAAATTCATAGTTTTTTTTAATGACTAGAAAGATTTTATTCCCCACTTCTACCTCCTAATTCAAATAAGACCAATTAGACTTTGCATGTTGTGGCAGGAGAAAAGAAAAGATTTGAATTGGGAGTGGAAAAGTGGGTTGATGTTGGCACCTCTTTCTCTCCTGGGAAGTCAATTGTTTCTGTTCTTTTCAGTGGAAGATGTAGACCTGGGCTTCCTGAGGAACAGAGAAGACATTAAGCATGACAAAAAACCATTTTTGAATGACAGTGAGTGGGAACTTCTTTCTGTGTCCTCAACATACAGCATCCTGCAGAGCAACACTGGAGATTTTGCACAGATTCAATTTAACGTAGGTTCTTCTCCTTCCTGCCCCTGTTGCCCACTTCTCTGCAGTCCTTGGCCTTTTCTACTGGGCTGAGGAATCTTTACTCCCACTGCACATTCTCAATTCATTATCACCCAGGAGCAGTTGGTTCAGATGGCTCCGAACATCTACCTGCATTTTGCTATGACAGGGGGCAGAGGTCCAGGGAGAGATCCTGGGCTCCTGCTGTAGAGATTCTGTAAGGGAATGTAGAAAGAATGATATTCAGGCATCAGAGGCCTGAATCAACAACTACAGCAGGAGTCCTCAAACCTTTCAGCACATATTAACATTATCACTTCTAATTGCTACTGAAAACAACAACAAAACCCCCTACCCTGTCACTACAACAAATTGGGAAGACTGTCTCATCAATCTTATTGTCCTGTTTTTAACTGAGTAAATTATTCATTAATTCCAGATGCAGATGCATAAAATGATCATATTATTAACTTGAGTATCTGAAGGAATTATCCAGTGGTCACCTGCAGGACCCACAGAAACCACTGGTGGCTTCTGGATCAGAGGGAACAACTGCCCCAAAGGATCCACATTCCTCTGATGTATCCCTGAGACTGCTCTTGGCTCCTTTATTCTGTCTGTGGGGGATTAGGGAGTGATGGGTACAAGACAATGAAACCTACTGCTTTGTGCCCCAGAGGTAGCCCTTCTCTCTTCTCTGGTTTTCCTGGTAAACCATCCTGACATATGGTCAACAGCTGGTTCACATAACCAGCAGATTCAGTGTTAATATGCTACAGTGTGCTCTGTTTTTCTGCACAAAGTTGGTTAGTAGGAGTGGTTTGGGGCTAGGGGCCTTCATGCCAAGAAATGGATCCAATAGAAAAATAGAGACTAACTGGCAAGTCAGGACTGCCATGAGATGAATTCTCCTAGAAATGCAGCTTTGGAATAGAAAGGTACATTTAGACTACACTAGGAACTATGGTTATGATGGATTTGCTAGGGGTGGTGGTGGTAAAATAGGCTATAATTGAGGACACAGGTATTCCTTGTTTGGTTAAAAGGTGTTTCCTGCAGCTTTCTGGCAAAACTAGTTAAACCAGGGCCTCTAAGATACCATTGGAGTTTGAACCTAACTAATGTATAACACTGGCTAGCAGCTGATTGCAATCATGCCTTCCTATACTTCTTAGCAGTGGGGTGGGGCTTGGGTTCTTGCCTAGAATTTTGCTTGTTTTTTAGCAAAGCTTGTGCTGTGGTCTGCTTGTCCACTTTGTGTGTGTGTGCGTGTGTGTATGTGTGTGAAAGAGAGAGAGGGAGGGGAAAAAAAAGGGGGAAAAAACCTTCTTCCTCTTTTTTTTTTTTTTAATTTCAATGAGCTTCTTGGCTAAGAGTAAACACCTCATTAATTTTAAAGATATCAGCCTGCAAACATTATTAATGCAGCCCAAATAATGGAGAACATTAAAGGAAATGTGAGGGAGTAGCACGTACAAGGTGGAACATAGTCACCTACCAAGTGCTCCGGAGAAAGCTGCACACACCATTACCTACGCTGCACGGAGGAGACAAATAGGCAAGAGATGGGGCAGGTAACCTGAGCACGAGTACACATATGCATAGGCGCAGGCGTTCCTCCCCCGCTTCTCTTCACAAAGTGACTGCTTATACTTATGTGTCACCCTTCACCTTAAATATTAATTTGTTTTCTCAGCAGCAGCTGAAGTTTTCCTATAAACTACCACCATTTCGAATGTGCTGAACAGAGATGGTAAAAGTTTGCTTCACCGTGTGTGGCTGAGGTCTTCTCTGGATCTCGAAACTGTGGTTCAGTTCCTTTGCTCCATTCATGGCCACAGAGGCCGGCTGGAGGCAGGCAGGCATTTGATTTCCTGCCCTTGAACCTTTTCCCTGATTCTTTGCCATGGGGGCTAAGGTGGGTATATAGCAGAACTGGCTTCCACCTGCTCCTCAGAAACAGAGTGGGGAAAGAATCCTGAGTAGTCACAGATCATATCAGCCAGACTCAGGAGTGATTCTGCAGCTCTGGTTACGACTTAACTTAGGCTCCACATCTATCAGTTTTCTGTCTCTCTCAACCTCTCTTGCTTCCATGCCTTCCATTCTTGCCATGTGTACCATGCCTGGATTCATAGTTATCTTTCTTTGTACCATATATCCCATTATGAATCCAGCATCCAAGGCATCTGGATGTCCTTCAGCAACCATTGGCCAGTAGTTCCATGCCAATGTTAGGCCTGCCAAGGTCCTGACACAAAAGGCCATCTCTCTCTTAATCTAATCACCTGGTATCTCAGCCCAGGCTGCTCAGCAGGAGGTCAGGGACAGGTGGGGTGGGCAGAAAAAACAATGATCTATTCTAAATACGTTATCATCCTAGGCTGATATACACTGCTGCCATTTATACTAAATCACATTCTCCAGATGCCCCTTTAGTTCCAACTAATGTACAATCATAGCTGCTGGCTCTGGGACACGTACTGTTTATCAGAGGGCACCGCTGATATTTTGGAGTCGGGCTTCATTCCACAGGGGGCCTAGAGCAAGGCACTTCTCCCTACAAGGAATCTGTGTGCAGCCTGGGACCTGATCCAGCAGCCTTGGGAGGGGAGATTTCTTCCAATACACGAACGGAGGGGCTGGTTCCCAGAAACAGCAGGGTAAGCATTTGATTTCTGTAAGGCAGCGATTTTTTTTTTTTTAAAGAAATGAGAGTAGAAGTGGGAGTAGGTAGGGATAAAATTTAGAAATTCATGTTGGATGGAAAAGGTGGACAGCTGTGGGAACTAAACCAGCCCAACCACAAATATTCTCACACTGAGCAAAGTGTTCATTCAGGCAGGAATTGGGGTACCCTTAGAGCAGTCCTACAAAAATGAATTAGGGGTATTCGAGAAAAAAGTTAATTTTTTTTTTTAGTTGTAGATGAACACAATGCCTTTATTTTATTTATTAGTTTTATATGGTGGTGTTGAGGATTGAACTCAGTGCCTCTCATGTACTAGGCAAGTGCTTTACTGCTGAGCCACAACCCTAGCACCCCCTAACCTCTTTTTCCATCATAATTTTCCTTTCTAGATTAGGGTAATTTTGTTGAGATGTCCATTGAATTCATACTGTAAACTTGATAGAAGATTCTTCTCAGCACCGTGTGCATGCACGAGAGAGAAAGAGAGAGAAAGAGAGAGAGAGAGAGAGAGAGAGAATTTAAAATCCTAGAAATTCTCAAGTAATGTGAGAATCATAGACTTCCTATTAATATAACCCAATCCACAGTCCAGATCCAAGAAGCTCTCAGTCTGGCACGAGGAACTTGCTTAAATGGCAGCAACTTTCCCATTTTTTTCTGAACTGGGAATGTTAGGAGGGGTCTCAGAAAGGAGGAAAATGGGCTTCTGTATGAAGCGTGAGTCTGGGCGTCAAACTTCCAACTATGTCATAAAGACGGTCATGCAAAATTGAGTACTGGTGGGGTCTACCATCAAGGAGGCAATTAGAGGCTAACCTTGGGGCCTATTCCATCTCCAAGGAGCTCTCCACACACACATTCTGAATTAGATTGATCTCTTTCATTAACATCAATAGGCTCCAAATACCTTTGTGTACTTATTATTACCTGGCTTTAATGGATAATGAAATTGTGGCATAATATTGCTAACACCTGAAGGGTGTCTAATGGAGAACACGGACTGAAACTAAAGTGCTTTTTCTTCCCTTTCTGTGGAATTTAAAGGCACCAGCTTCTTTAGTCCATTAGAAATGATTGGGTTTTAGGTAGGGGCAGTTTTGTAGAGAGCCTGGGACAGACTGGCAGAGGCAGGGGTTACTATGAAGGTAGCCCTCAGAAAAACTGACCTTAATAGATTGGCCCCCATTTGGGCTAACTTCACACTCCTTTTGTAACTAAATGTAGCATTATTAAAAGACTCTAAAACAATTCAACAAACATCTTTTTTAGCTGTTAGCATGTTCCAGCCTCAATGGTAAACACTTAAGACACCATGGTGAATAAAAAGGTTCTTTATATCCATCATAAACCTAAAAATCTGCACGGGAAGACAGGCACTTCATGTCAGGCACCATTTTAAGAGTTGGTGCCAGGCATGGTAGCACATACCTGTAATCCCACTGGCTCAGGAGGCTGAGACAGGAGAGCCTGAGTCCAGCCTCAGCCACTTAGCAAAGCCCTAAACTAGTTGGATCCTGTCTCAAAATAAAAAATAAAAAAGGCTGGGAATGTGGCTCAGTGGTAAAGTACCCCCTGGGTTGAATTCCCAGTTCCAAAAAATAGAATAAAAAAGAGTTTATATTCATCAGATGGGTGCTCCTAGTATCTGCACTTTTACAAATGGATAGATTGAGATGCAGAGAACTTTTGTAACTTACGGGAAGCTTCAGGATGACTAGTGGAGCCTGGATTGAACCAGGCAGTCTGACTCCAGAAACCATGTCCTAATCCTACATCACGCTGACATACAACTAAGTGTAATGCAGTACATCTCAGACTGTTCTTTGCTATCTACACAGTATATATTACTGGGAAAGTCACCTTTATTTGTCTCACAATGCTGCTCCAACAAAGTACCCCAAACTGAGTGGTTTTAAACAACAGAAATTTATTCTATTGTTCTGGAGAGTAGAAGTCTGAAATCAAGAATGACCCAAATTTCTGGGCCCTCCAAGGCAGAATCTGTTCTATGCCTCACCTAATATCTGCTGTTGGGGCTGAGACTATAGCTTAGTTGGTAGAATGTTTGCCTAGCACACCCAAGGCCCTGGGTTCAAACCCCAGTGCCACCCAAAAAAAAAAAATCAACTTAATATCTGCTGGTTGCCAGCAATCACTGGTGTTACTTGGCTTGTAGATGTATCTTTTGAACCTCTACATCTATCTTTATGTGGTCTTCTTTTTGCATGTTTCTTCTCTTCTGAGGACACCAATCCTACCCTAGTATGATCTTGTCTTATGGGTGTTGGGCATGGAACCCTGGGCCTCGCACAGTATAACTGGTGAATGCTGTACTAAGACAATCATCTTAACTAATTGCAACTAATTGATCCTGTTTCCAAATAAGGAAACATTCTGGGACTCCAGGAAGGAATGATATCTTTTTAAATTTTTTTTTAAAAATTTTTTAGGTGTAGATGGACACAACACAATGCCTTTATTTTTATGTGGTGCTGAGGATTGAACCCGGGTCCCGTCTGTGCTAGGCGAGAGCTCTACCCCTGAGCCACAAGCTCAGCCCCAGGAATGATATCTTGGGGACCGTATTCAACCCAATAGAATAGTGACATCTGCCTTGTATGCAAAATACAATTGCCCTTCCCAATATGCCCTAAAGTTAGCCCTTTCTAGCATCGACTCTAAATCCAAAATGTCATCTAAATATAAACTAGAAAGTCCCAAGGCTCCTCATCTTGATCAGGTATAGAATCTGGTTATGAACTATTCTGGGGCAAAATTCCTCTTTGATCACAGACTTAATAAAACACCCAACCACCCAAGTCTGGTTCCTGAAACCATGTGGAGAGGACAAGGGCAGAGACCTGTCCTAACTCCAGACTGTATGATAGGGCCTGGCAACCTGTTCATGCTAGTTAAGACAAGGAAGTTCTGTTATGCCATAGTAAAAGCTAATTGTCTCTCCTTGTACCTAGGTCTTTCCCTTCGGCTTTAAGCTTCTGTTGATGTACAGTGAGGAATGACCTCTGACAGGATCAGCTACCTAATTTGTAGGGCTCAGTGGGAAATGACAATGCAAACCCCCTATTAAAAAATTATTAAGAATTTCTAAATGCTCACCTACAGAGCATTAAACCAAGTTCAGAATCATTTGTGCTTGCCTAGGTTGCATGCACCAGAAGCCATGTAACTTCTTAGCTCTTCCCATGCCTCTCCCCTGACATCTCAGGGATCATTTGGGCTGATAAAACAGCACTTTCTCAGACATCAGGGGCTTTGAGGAGCCACACTACCCATCTTTGGTTCTGGCTTAGATTTACATTCACTGTCTGCATCAGCCTCTGGGTAGAGAGGAATCATTGCCGCTTGTGCTTTTTATATAAAAACTTTATTTAAAGAGTACAATAGCTCATCTCAATTGTACTAAGATGTATGGCAAGGCAAAATTAAACTACTTTTAAAAAAATTGTGGGGAGGGAGTGAGTGAATTGAGCCATAGAGAGGTTGGCTCCCTCACGCAAGGTCACTTACACTTGCTTATCTAGGCTACAATGGAGGCACTATGGGACTCTGTGCCCTTGGCTTTCACGTCTAGGCTCTTTTCACTAAACCAACATGCCTACTCGTGCTTTTCCTTAGAGTGATATTGTTACACTTCTTCTCTTTCATGTAATCTCTGCCACAGCATCTCTAGGGGGTATTCACATCTTTACCCTCCAGAGACAGCAGATGTGGTTGCCACCCCTACCTCATGAGGCTGGATCACCAATAGCCCAGGCTAGGTTACAACACAAAACCCTCATGGACCCCAACCACTTGACCCCCTTTCTACTGTCCCTGCCTTTGCCATCTTGATCACAACATGAGGAGGGGAGCTGAAAGGTGCAGGTTGATGACGATTAATTCTGTTGTTGTTTCTCTTGTTGCCTGCACTTTGGAGAAATGTGTTTTAACCAAATTATTGCAAAGCAGTGAGTGTTGCTTTGGTTTAGATATTTGCAGCCAATTATGTTTAATGTGAAAGAGAACAGCCAGACTATAATCCGCCAATGGCTCTGGCCTGCCAAGCTCCACTGAGTTGGGACATGCTTCTGGATCCAGCTGCAGGGGAGCCCCCACTTTCACCACCAGGGCAGCATCTGGAGTCCCCCAGCCACGTTGTTCCCTGCCACCTTCTGCTCCATCCCTGGCCTTTTCTACCTTTTTTGGTAGAAAACACATTTCTACCAAAGTGCAGGAGGAGAGGCTTTTGCACACTTCTTTGTGATTCTTTTCCAGAGCAGGAGATGGAGATGAGGGAGAAGAGCCCTGCACTCTGATCAGAGGTTCAATCTGATCAACAGTGGTAGCTATGTAGTGGTGGAAAAGAGCTTGGCATCAGAAGATGTGGGGACATATCCCAGTGGTGCCACTTAAATCACTTAAGAGGATTGAGTTTTAATTTTGATAATTTATAAAATGGAGGGTATTACCTACCAAGGACTTGGCAGTAAGGATTAAGTAAATTATACATACGAATAAAAGCATAGAAAACATTCTATTGTTTGGCAAATGCAAAAAATAAAGAGATTCTAGGCATTATTTCTGTCCAAGTCCAACAGCAAAGGGCCAAGGATGTTCATTTGTTCAACAAACATTTATTGAACACCCATTTTAAGACAAGTCTTATTTTGTTTTTTTGGGGGGGATTATCACCAGCCAGAGATGGGATGAGATGAGAGATCACAGTGGAGTGAGGGAGGCAACCTTGCCATTCTTTGGTTTCTCTTTCAATAAGAATATATGTTTCTTAAAGACATCACAATCCCAGTGCAAAATGGCAACGACAGTAGTGATTTTGTGAGATTCAAATTCCAAACTACAAAATCCACTTGGCTTCCACAACACAGGCTGAGCTGAGTAGCTTCAGCTGGTCCCCGCTCCAGGGGGCCCCACTTCCCACTTCTTCCCCTTTCTCTTTGCTTCTGGAGACTAAGATGGGGTCCCTTCTCATGTTGGGCCAATGGGAGGTAGGGCAGGAGCAGCGACAGGAGATGGGAGGGAGGGAGGGAGGGGAGGAGAGGGAGGGGGCACTTACCTCTTCATTTGCCGCTGGTGAAACCACTGCTAGATTGCTGTGTTCCTAGGAGAAAGCTACAGTTCCTGCCCTGCATAGCTTTCTCTTTCCTCAGGTTTGGCCACTACCCCCAGCACTTGGGCCCTTCAGGCATAAGGGTTGTATCAGCTCAGTCCCCAGAAAGCCCTACATGGACCTCCTCCTTGTGGTTTCTTTTTTCTTTTTTTCCCCAGTGCCCCCTACCTTTTTAAAAAATATTTCTTCAGTTGTTGATGGACCTTTATTACTTATTTATTTATATGCGGTGCTGAGAATTGAACCCAGTGCCTCACACAAGCTAGGCAAGTGCTCTATCAGTGAGCCACCACTCAAGCCCTTCTCCAGTCCCTTTAATATATATATTAATTATAGGTGAACATAATACCTTTATTTTATTTTTATGTGGTGCTGAGGATCGAACCCAGTGCCTCACATGTGAGAGGCAAGTACTCTATCACTGAGCCACAGCCCCAGTCCCTCCCCAGTCCCTTTTATTCCTTATTTTGAGACAGGGTTTCACCAAGTTGCTGGGGCTGGCCTCAAACTTGTGATCCTCCTGTCTCAGCTTCCTGAGTCACTGGGATCACAGACCTTGTAGTTTCTTTATACCCTGCCCGTACCTTGCAAACAGTCTGTTGAGCCCTCTTGCAATTTCCTCATTTTATTGTTCTCTTTATTCTTGCCCAGATATTTATAGATCCTCAGGTGTTAAGAGGCTCACATTCCAAGTAAGAAGAGAGGCTGAAAATAATACCCAATATTGCATAAGTGGCTTAAGAGAAGGAGGGTTTTCATTTTAAGACAGTTTCTTACCAGATATGTGAATTTGGACAAATAATTTGACTTCTTTGAATCTTACTTTCCTAGTTTGTAAAATGGAGATGAAAATATCTCGCCCTTAAAGTTTGGAGGATTGACTATGATAAGCATATGAAATAGTCTAGTGTATGGCACACAGCAGGTGGGAAATAAATGCTAACTTCTTCTTCTTATAACTATCAATAATATTAATATTGGCTATGTAAAAGTTTAAAGGATTTTTCTCCTTCATTTCTAAACCACAAAATAACCTCAAACATACTTCTAAGATAAACTACACAGACTTCACATGGCACATGAAGGCTTTGCATGTTGGGACTTATGTGAGTATTCCTGGCTATGGATTTGGTCAAATGTTAGTCCATGGGCTTAGATTCAACAAATTCCTTGTTCCTGGCCAGGTGGTGATTCGCAGATGCCCATTGGCCTATGTTGTGAATTTGCTGATTCCCAGCATCTTCCTAATGCTTGTGGATCTGGGGAGCTTCTACCTGCCACCCAACTGCCGGGCAAGGATTGTGTTCAAGACCAGTGTGCTGGTGGGCTATACAGTCTTCAGAGTCAACATGTCTAACGAGGTACCTAGGAGCTCAGGGAGCGCCTCTTTGATTGGTAAGCATCCTCAGGGTCACCTGATGCCAGTGTTATTTTACTCCTGCCAAAGATCTGGTGATGCATTTCAAACTGGAGGAGGGAAAACCCTCAGAGACTACAACTAACTTCTCTGCTCTGGTGCCTTCTCCCAGGGGTCTTCTTCACAGTCTGCATGGCCTTCTTGGTTCTCAGCTTATCAAAGTCTATTCTGTTGGTCAGATTCCTCCATGATGAGTGGAGAAGTGGCCAGGAACTACCCCTCTTGTGCCTTCAGGGGGATGCTGGCACCAATGGGTCTAGAATGGACCCTAGGACCCAGGATGCTGGAGTAACAGGTTTGTGAGAAGTCTAGAGATCCCTTTCCCATCTTTCTGGGTCACCCTCAGCACCAGTGCCCATCAGCAAAGCACCAGGCCTTTTGTTGCACTTTGTGGAGAATCTGAAGCACCTGCTTCATAGTCCCTGCATTACATTTATATTACCTCCCCAGGGATCTGAAGTCCACCTTCTGCTGGAAGTCGCTTTAGCTTGTTTAATTTTTCAGTTACCCACAGTGACTCATCCACCCTAGAATAGTAAAGTTCTAGCATGTAAACTTGCTCTCTATTTGGATTTACTTCCCCCACCCTAAAAGAAAAAGAAAAAGGCAAGTGAAAGAATCATCCCAGCCCCTAAAGTTCCAATTGAGTTGATCTGGTCACTACACATACCCTACTTTCACAATATAGCTCTGCCATGGTCTCTGTCCTGCAGCACAGCCGTGCCTCAACAAGCAAGTAGGGTGACAGTCCACAACCCCACTCAACTCTCTTCCTAGTTTTGCCCACAACTTTCCTTGAAGGATGAAGCTGTCAGATTCAAGAGAAAGTTCCGGTGGGCCTTGGTAGCCCTTGGCTCACCTCAAGTATTCTTCTCTATCATGCAGAATCCCCAGTCTGTCAAGAACACCAGATCCAGTCAGAAACCCTGAAGGAAGTCTGGTTCCAGATTC